TGTTACAGTATCATGGAACTGACACAACACAACTTCCCGTAACTTTCTCGGTATAACCATTTCCCAGGTCGTCACTTTCCCTTCTGCAGTTTCCCATCTGGGGAAAATAATACCATATTTAAGCTTCAACTGGTCCCATTGTGCCCAATAGTTCTTTGTCACAGGGCTTAAGCTAGACACCTTCTCCCAAGCAGGGCGCAAAACACTTGCTTTTAGAAAATCAATTATTGGCTTAAAATCTTGATCTTTCTCCTGTTCTGCTTTAACATCTATACCTGGTTCCATTTCATCATCATCAATTCCTTCGGTCACCTTGACTTCAGCTTGATGGCACCTGGTTAGTTCAACCTCTCTTTGCAGCAATGTCTGCAGTCATTTTTGCAGGGTCTTCGGCTCAGTCCGTCGGCATTTCCATGAGAATTATATTCTCTGTATTCAATATATAATTATACTGGTCTATCTTTCCGATCCAACGTGCCAGTTGTTACTCAGCTCCACTTTTAAAGCTTCCAGATCACTCACTGCCGTACATACTGGATTGTGATGCTAGTAATGTTGGAATTGGAGGAGTGTTGTCTCAGAAAGTTGGTGAAAATGAACTTGTGGTGGCCCAGTTCAGTAGGGTCCTGAGTAGACCAGAGAGGAACTACTGTGTAACACAGAGGGAACTCCTTGCGATAGTAAAGAGTCTGACATATTTCCATCCTTACCTCTATGGTGCCAGGTTTACCATCAGGACAGACCATGCTGCATTATGCTGATTAAGAACATTATCTTACCCAGAGGGCCAATTTTTTCTTTCAATGTCTTGAAAGCATGCTGGCAAGAAACTGTCCATTCAAACTTCTGGCCTTTTTTGTTAAATCATGTAGTGGAGCAGCTATAGTTGCAAAGTCCTTCACAAAACTTCCGTTAATAGGTACAGAGTCCCAAGAAACTTCTTAACTCTTCCACATTGTCTGGTATTGGCCAATTACGCACTGCTTTCACCTTGTCCGGCCCGGCATGG